TGATGGGTATATCCTTATACCCGACCCGGACAACCGAAAGGGACAGGTCAAAATATGACAGGTCACTTTTATCAATCACCAAATGAGGTTAACTCTTCGATTGGGACGGGTCAAAAGTTGACCGGTCACTTCCACTAAAAAAGTGACCGGTCACTTTTTGGGCGATAGCCAAAATGTCGCCTAATGTTACAAAGGACATTCTAGAAGACCAGAGACGGGTTGAGCACAAACAATGACCGGGTAACTTTTGAGAGAAGGTGACCGGTCATATCACTTTACTTGGCTAACATTGGTTCAGTCTCTTAGGCATGGTGAACCACGTCAGAGGTCAAGGGGACACCCCGCCGCTCATCCATCACGAGGCACACAATGAAAGGGATGTTTGTCATTTTGCAGGGTTGATTGGATTGAGAATATCCATTTTAGTCTTTGATTGAACAGTACATGTCTTGGCCTATAGTTGCTAAATTCTATGATTGTACAGTGTTCCCATTATCTACAGTGACCTTCCCACGAGCTTCCTATTTTGTCCATGGATGAACAGGGGAAGGTCACAAATCCTCCTCTATAAATATGATGATATTGGATAGAGGGGGGATCCAATTTTTTCTTTCACTAAAGTTCACTCTTGAGATAGAGTAAGAAATATAATTCGGACTGAGGAGATTTACCCGGTCTAGGTCATACTTTGTGTTCTTGTTGTGTGTTTATATTACGGGTCGAGTGTGTCCAGGTCAAACCCGGTTAACCCACCCAGCTATATTTACACCATCATTATCATTGTGAAATTACACTTTTAGCCCTCGAATTAACACCAACATGATATAAGATCAAAAAAGGACTATTTGTGGAAATATACTCATAAAAAAAGGACCATTGGAGTAATATTTGATAATAGAGAACTAAATAGGGAAACCCCCATGTTATAAAGGACCAATTATGGAATTTACTCCATTATTTAACATATTGTTTGCCAGGTTTTATTCTCAGGGTTTTCATATGGAGGTTTATCTGAACTTCCAGAAAGTGAATACTTTTCATGTAAAATGAGCTCAACCATTGCTGGTGAATTTGGTGCTTTTGGTTATCGGCCTTCAATTCTTACGGAAATGCTTGCTGGAAAACGAGCTCAAGTCAGCACAGAACTTGGAACATATACGAGAACAGTTTATGGCGATTGTTCACCTTCAGATTTAAAAACTGCATTGCAGGTTTGCCCTATAGAATGTACTCCGATACCAAAGTAAAAAGGTTCTGTGATTTAGATTTCACAACTTTGAATGACAGTGATGTGCTTGGGAAAGTTAATTTGTTTACTACTCCAAGGATAAATGAACGTTGTATAGAAGAAATAATGTTTTGTGATATTAACTCTCCTGCTTTCTGCTACATGACGCCCTCTCTCACTTCTCCAGCTGGTCTATCAACATGTTCTTCTTGTCTTGTTTTTAACTTTTCAAGGTACATGTTTAGTGAACTTCTCACTTAAATGAGTTTTCTTGTGCAGCCAATTACAATTGAAGATCTTCAAAAAGCAAATTTGTATAAAGCATGTGAATATTACAGTAATTGCTTCAAGGATCCATCAACATTTACCATGTTGATTGTTGGGAATATTGACCCTGCCACTGCTTGTCCATTAATATTACAGTATCTGGTAAAGCCGTAAACTGCCTGGTTCTTTTTTCAGCCCTAGAGTACTGAGCATTTCTATATGCTGATCTCAAATTTGCAATGTAGGGTGGAATTCCAAGGCCTCCTGAGCCCATTTTACATTTCAAAAATGGCACTCTTACACTATGTTTGGCTCCAAGGATTTTGGTAGGAAAAGAAAAGAATTTTCTCTCATTTTCCACACCAAAATGGAAGGAATTTGATTTTCCCTCCACTTGGTACATTTTGCCTTCTCATTTTCTTTTCCTTCCACTTTTCCTTTCTTTTCCCCTCTATCCAAACAAGAAAAATGGTTATCCACTTCATTTTCTTTTCTTTTCTCTTTCAAATTCCTTAAACCAAACATAGTGTTAATGGTTTGCCATTCACATTTCCTTCAACCATAATCAGGTGGGTTTCAGCTTAAATTAACAGTGCTAGCTGGTATTGGATTGCAATGTGTAAAATAATCTTGATTTGGGTTGGATCGCTGCTTAAAAAATCTTAAATGCATCTTCATTTCTGTGTTAACCTCGATTACTATGTAACAAATACTGTTCATCTTGATGTCACAGACTTTTTTAACATGTCTCATGTGCTTGTAGAGAAGTTGTTCATAGCCCTATGGTGGAAGCACAGGGTTCAGTCTAACTATGCTTTCCTGTTCAGTTAACTAGGGACATGGTATGATGTAAATTTCATTTTTTATAGGTCAATACGAGGTACATTTATACGAGCTTCAATTTTGATCCTTGTATGGGTGCTCTAAATATATACTGCTTCATTAAAAATACTAGATGGAAGATGTTCATTTTGTTGGCTTTCTTGGAAAATTTATGTAAACTAGGATAGTACAAACTCTCTGCTATAAATGACAGGTGCATTTTTGCGTTCTTTATTCTCTGATGTAGTTGTTTTTTAGATATCATCTCCTATATTTGGTTTCCCTCATAGGTGTCACATCGCCAGGGTGAGGCACGGCTCTACTGTACCGCCATGACATCTTGGCGACTGGCTAGGAGACAATTAGGAAACACGTATTAAATGCGAAAAGGAAGAAGGAAAAAAAGAAAAATGAAAAAGAAACTATGAAAATAAAAAGCAACCTGCAATTTCATAGCTCAAACGAAATATGAAAAAAAAATACTGACTTGAAAAAAAGAAGTTATTTAAAAGTAGGATTAATTTAAAAAAATACTGAATTGAATTTGAAATAAATTAATTATAAGGCATTTTCAAAAAAAAAGAAGCAAAAGCATTGAGTATCGAAGGCGAGAGAGAGTAGGGACCGAGTCAGGGATGACGAGAAAAGCAGACTGCTTGGTCACCAAGCCGATGCCATGACAACTATGGTTTCTCTATAATGTGATAGTTCTTGTGATCCTTTATTTAGTTATTGATTTACTATCTCCGTCCCAGAGTATTTGTCCACTTTCATTTTTACACATCATCCAATACACTTCTTTACCATTTTATCTTGTAATTTGTATATTAAAAAATTATAGAAATTATATATAAATAATCTATATGTTAAGACAAATCAAACAAGATCACACATGACTATATTTAGGCTTACACATTGAGAGAATTTGATAAGTCAAAGCGCTTAGATGAACAGTTCCAAAAGTCAAAAGTAGACGAATATAGCGGGACGGAGGGAGTATTATTTTCTCATAGATATACTCTGGTAGAGTTTGTGTTTCTTGTTGGCAATATTCAAGGGCAAATTAGCATCAACTTTTCTTGTGATCCTGACATCTCATCAACATTGGTTAGTTTCCCATCTTCTTATAGTAGCCATTATTGCAAGTTGCAACTACCTCTTGGAATTCCCATGTTACATTTTCCTTTTTCTCAAAAGGTTGAACTTGCATTGGATAAAATATTGCGTCTTCAAGAAGATGGACCCTCCATCAAAGATGTTTCCACTGTGCTAGAAATTGGGCAGAGGGCACATGAAAATGGCTTCCAGGTATGTCCACAACAAGCTTTTTGACTTAATCTTGATGAAGTGCACATGTTTGTGTAGGCTTAATAACTTAATTAGACTAAATAGGACGCTTAACCGTTGTAATATTTGACCATGCATGAGTGTGTGTATGTGTGGGGGAGGGTAGGTGTACGTAGACTTTCCACCTCCTAAGCGCCCTAACACTGTCTGGTTCAAGGAATTTGGAAAGAAAAGAAAATAAATTGGGTTTCTCTCATTTTCCTCACCAAAATGAGAAAAATTGAGTAACATTTTACTACTACATTTGACAATTAGGGTCTGCTCTCTGGCCCAAAACCCTAATTGTAACCCTCAAGCCTTGCGTCCTTCTTCTTCGTCTGTCCTTTCGTATACTGAAACAATGACACCGGCCTTCATGCTTTGTGGCCTGGTGTCATTCTGCATCTAAAATGGTGATTTTAAGAAGTGGGAAAATCTATTGCTTATCACTGTGATGTTTATTTTATTAGGGTGTGCCTGGATCAATGGAACCACTGTGTGTCATTTCAGGATGAGTCTGTCGCCTGCCGCCGGTGTGGAGGCTAGCCGCATTGCTATGTTTTGCGGTTTTTGTGCTCATAAGCTGATGAAGTAGGTCGTTTGCGTTATGTTTTGCGGTGATGTTATGTTTTGCATTTTATTTAGCGTATTTATGGGCTACTAGCGAATTTTATGTATTACAGATTCTCTTTTGGGATGATAATCATGATATTGAGTGAACTTTTATTATCCTAGTACATTTTAATTTTTGCTTTGTAGATTACCCATTCAAAATTACAAAATTGCGAAGATCCAAAGGTCTTGTTGGCGACCAGCAAATAATCAAACATAGAGGTTTTGTTTGGAACAACGTGAGATTGTAGCGTTGGTGTTTCGGAAAAACTATAATCTAACAATAGAATTTTTAAAATTAATCTGCACAATTATATCCTGATCCAAAACGTTAATGCAAATTGAAAATATTTTCGCAATTTATTAAACATAAAATCCTAATATGTTTCATTTACCAAACGACATAAAATATTCCCTCACATATGTTTCTCTACTAGTTCTCCACTTCTGTGCACCAAACATGGCATAATCACCAAATAATTGCATCAATTGCACAATACGAGTAAACCCGTATCTTTAAAAAAAAAGACCTTTTTTGTATCAACTATGTCCCATTTTTGCACTTCACATCTATGTCCCTATTTGTCTGTGCAACACAAATAACTTTCTCCCATGGGGTGTATATACTTTTGGTGTACAAAGAGTGGTATCCTTTTTGCAAGCAAATGTGTCTAGGCTCCATATTAGACACCAAAACTATAGAAAACAATATTTCTTATTTGGTCAAAGAGTGAAATGAAGAGAAAATGAGAAGGCAAAATGTGTAATGAGAAAAAAAAATCAAAATTCTTTCCATTTTGACAAGGAAAATAAGAGAATCATTTTTTTTCTTTTCGAATTTCTTGAAGCAAACATAGTATTAAAGTTGGTGCTGCCAAATTCAGAAAAATTTTCACATGACAGAACGGACTTCCATGGGAATCCATTGCAGAAAGGCACTAAAAAGGTACACCACAACCATTTCTTTTCTTCTTTACAAATTGCCTGGTTTGCCTGTCCATTTGGGGAATGGCTCTTGCTTGCTTAAAACCACCACTTTGCTCTTGTGGGCAAAATAGCCTTTCATTAGATTTTTGTAAATTAAAATGGACATTATGCATTCCACCTGTTGAGAAGAAGAAGAAAAAAACACCCAAGCTTTTTTCACAGCAGCCACGGCGACAATTAATCTGAAAAAACGAATCTTTTAATTAAAAACAAAAGGAGAATAAAAAGAGAAATACCTCATCAACATCCATATCCATTCCAAGCCACTTCAGAGCTTTTACAATTAAATCCAGCTTGATTTGGTGAGCTTTGTTCAGATCTTTCTGCTTTTGTATGATGTAACTGCCAAAGTATTTAGGATGGTTTTGTATTAAAGAATCCCAATTATCGGTGAGATAGGGGAAAACAAGCATTTCCTTTAATACTTGAGCTTACATCTTTTTTAGTAGCCTCTGATAAACTTGAAGCTCTAGCTTCTCGAGGACAAGATAAACACCAGACCTCAATAACCTAACCACAGAGAAGGAATATGACTGTTTGAGTATTGGTATAAGCTAAAAACAGTTTCTGAAAACTGATCAATGGAAGATAAAACCGCGATGGAATATACGTACTTATCCTCATGCTCCTGTAGAGTGGATCGAAGAAGACGGAGATCACCTCTTCTAAGAGCAAGCACTATGTTACTGTACTGTATAAATAAAAGAAAAGAAAAGAAAAAATATTGTTAGCATTTAGATACACAAATGGTAAACTAACAAATTGCACATGGTAAACTAACAAAAAATATGAATAAAATACCTCATTCAGATTATACTTCTCAAGGAGGAAAGTTTTAGGCAAGATTCCAATTGAAAGCTTCACGGGTATCAAATATTTCAGTATCATTCTGCCAAAGTGCATCATTCATAGATTTAGCATTCATCGAACTTTGGGAAAATTGGTTGCTTTTGAAGCGTAGACAGTAAACAGACCTTACATTTCCCTCCTTTTGAGGATCACAATGGGATAGAGCATATGACAGCTTCTGATCAGCAGCACGAAAGTTTTCATTGTAGACCTCCAAACGACCTGTGTAGTACATGTAGGTGACCTTATCCCTAAGAGGAAATTCCTCAAAATCAAAAATCCGGGCAGTTTCAATACTTCTTGTCACACTTTTACACAAGTGAACAGTTCCAAGCTTGAAATAAATTTTGAAAAGCTGGCAAGTCACATATAATGCTCCTACTCGTTTTGGTCCTTTACTAGCCAGTGCCCCAAATACTTTCATAAGGAATGATCCCGCTGCTATCAATTTTTCAGGGGTTTTCCTCATGGAAGCCAACTCTCTGTCTGCCTACAAGTACACACTAACATGTATCAGTAAATGTAAAAAAACAAACAAACAAACAAAACAGACAAGCCATTGCGCTTACTCTTTCAGCAAGAACTCTAATTTCATATGCTATGATATAAAGTGCTTCCAGAGCCCATGCCGATTCCCAGTTACGAAATTCTTGAATGAAAGAGCTGTATCACATCATATAACCACAATGTGAGCATATAACAGAAACTGAAGCGACACATGGTGAAATCAAATGAGAAGCTTCACATACTTGGCGGATTTTTCAAAAGCCTGGTAAGTCTCAGCCAGATTATTGAGCTTATAACTCTGGAAAGCACGGAATAATGGAAGTAGCATATCTGCATAATGAGAACACTCCGACTGTCTGATCACTCGATTAGGATCCTATTGCATACAGACAACAAAACTCTTTGATCAGTTAAAAGCTAACATACAGTTACGCTAGAAGTTTAAGTTCATACATATGAAGAGAAGTTCACTCGCAAAGAATCTTAGTTCTCTATAAAATATAAACCAGAAAATGAGCTGTGAATACTTTATAAGTAGAATCCCACTTTACTATAAGGGCTAAGACATTTAATGAAACAGTGCACTGTAATGTTTACTTCTTCAACTACTAAACGTCAGTTTCGGTGTAGGGTTTTCAAGGGGAGAGTTTTAGAGGACGAATTCTATATTTTAATATACATTTGATATTATGAGTATTTTTTTTAAATGAAAGAATGACAATGTCTGTTCTTTATATGTCTTTTCAGCAGAGTTAATTTTAGTTATCTTGAGCACTTTTCATCTAAAATTACAACTATCCCTCAGTCCGGATTTAGTTGTCTACATTCTAAAAAAGTATGGAATATCATTTTTAAGAAGTGAGATTAAAATTCCAAATAAGTCCTTCAAACGAGTTTCTCAATCATTCATGTCAACAAGGTTATGTCCCATCTCTAAGCTACTTTAAACCATTCATCATAAATTCTTCATTGAATGCGGAAAGTGGACAACGAATTACAGACAAATGAAAACAAGAAATCAGAAAATTAAATCGGGATGGGATGATTTTTAGGTAAGTTCAGAAAAATTGAGTCCAAAGGAACCATTCGTAATAAAGTGGTTGTTTTTCTTTTTCAATCAGCAATCATTCTTAGGAACAAACAATGTACCGCGTATTTGTTAATATATAACTAAGCTTTCCAAAATCTTACCCCCAAACTGGACCTAACTCGCATAAATTCAAGTTGTTAAATTTTGAAAAAATTAATTTTTTTTCATAAGGTCACATTATATGGTAAAGCTCTCCACTCCAAGACGAGCCCAATAATGAAATTATTTGGCTAAAAAAGAATGCAAATGTACAATTCAATCTCCAATCCTGTCCGATTCCGTATTTCTACTAGAAGTGTATATTCTTCGAATTAAATTTCTGGGAAATCTAAGAAATTTGGAAATTTAAAAAAATCCCATAAATAAATCGCACTAAATAAACAGGAGTAAATAAAATTTGAATGTTCTAACACACCTGGAATGCGATGAGAGCATCAGATAGAGAGAGAATGAAGGAAGAGTTGGAGGAGATGAGGAAGAGGCTGCTCAGAGATCTGCCATCCTGAGACGAAACGGCGTCGTAGAAGCGGCTCAGGTACTCTGTGATTCGCCTGTGTGCTTCTCCCGTGCTCATATATGCCGCCATCGTTTAACAGCTGTGACTCTCTCTTTCTCAACAGGGGAGAGAGAGAAAAGGGTCGAAGACGATTGAAACGACGTCGTTCGTTTTTCTGGGTTCTGGAAATCGGAAGGAAAGGTTTGGGCTTTCAGAAGGCGAAGACTGCAGAGGGTAATGACTTTACGGCCCTCTAGATTCGTTAGATTGTCAAGTATTTATGAATATTTAAACTATTTGTACACAAAAAAATTATAACTCATTTTATACCAGAAGACATACATTAGAATTTTGTACTAGCATGATGGTTTATATTGAGATAAAATAACAGTGTAAATTTTTTTGATTGAACTAATATTTTGTACCAATTTAAATCATTAAAATACCGGTGCCTCTCTTTGCGATACAACTTGGGGTACACTTCTTGGGTTACGCATAGCATGGTTGATTTATGAATTATTTGATTATGTAAAGAGTACTTCTTTGGTTCAAAAAATTTCTTTGTTTGATTTGACATAAATTTATTTGGTTGAAAGTGATATATAATACAGAGTAGAAGAGAAAAATTATTTATAAACTATGGGGTTTTTATACTCTAGTCGTCTCAATTTTTATTATATTTTTTTCTCTCTCTTCTCGATAACTTTTATTTATTTATATGCTTTCATTGATTATTTGATAAAGTAAAATATTTTTGTAACATATTGTTTTGTAGAACTTTTGACATAGTTTTCTAATATGTACTCCGTAATTTTTATTTTTTATCGATATACCAATTTATAAATAAAATGATTTTAAAAAATAGGAGATTTTGCCCTCTAAATTCTAATTTGTAATCAAATTTGGAACGGAAGGAGTACATAAATTCGAATTGTTTTAAAAAAATGTACACTCTATACATTGTTATTACATCAATATTTGCTTATAAAACTGATTCAAAAATTTAAAATAAAAAATAATTCTACATTTTAAAAATGAGTTTTTTGCGTCTTTTACCTTCAAAGTTTTTCATAAGTTCATCGTGAACATTAAATATTATATCCATAATTTCCAAACTTTTAAATACATTGCCTCAATGATACCCTGATACTAGTCACCGATGCCTCGCTACTAATTATGTACTCCGGTAAGATTTTGGCACCGTACATTGCACGATGCTAGATCTTTTATAGCGAATGTTTTAAAGTTTATGGTGTTCATCTTAACCAAATGGACCCATATATCCAAAGTGTCTACTCCCTCACTCCTATATTGGATACCACACTCCAAACAATTACCTCATATGTATCCAGTTTGACTTTTACTAGTCAAACTAAAAAAAATTTGGGCTCTAATAATTAAATAAATGTGATAATGTGTTTTAGTGTAAAAATTTTTTAATAGATTTTATCTTGTTAAGAACTATTAATATCTTAATTTATTCTATTAACATGAAACACAATTAAGAGCGATTGATGTTTAAAGTTCGTCCAATTTGACTCGAAAAAGTCAAACAAGACAAATAAACTGTGACGGAGGGAGTATGTGTAAAATCCCCTCATTTTTAAATTATTTTAATTACACATAAGTATAAAAATAAAATGTATAATTACACCATTTAAAAGTACATAAAAAAGTCTATGAAACAAGAGGTGACAAAAATATTTTGTTTTATCACACTATCAATAAAAATATATTTAACAATGTGGTCCAATTTGTTTTATTTCTAGGGCTTGAAGTCTCAAAATTGAAAATTGTATGAAATCCTATCCTATATATCCTATATATCCTATATCCTATATATATCATATATCCTATCCTATATCCTATCCTATATATATGTAAAGGAAGGTTCACTTCTTGGAGTGTTGACATGTGGCATGCCACATGTGCATCCACATGTGCATTCATTAGTGACATGGATGAATTTCATTAGTCTATTTAATTACTCCGTATTTAAAAAGATCTTTTAACAATTTTATTAACATATATATCATCATTGTAAAATATTTTGTATAAAATTTTTGTTTTAAATAAATATACTAATATATATTGCACCAATTTAAAACATATTTTGCTTACACAATTAAATTATATATATAAAATATTTTGTAACTTTATCAATACTTTGAAAAACAAAGTTTAATTTATACTCCGTATTATTTTTAAAAACGATAAATCATTTCTCTTTTGTTTTTTTTGAAAGAAAATACTTATAGATCAGAATGTTTAGTGCATATGCATCTATATTTAAATTATATTATTTGAAAAAAAAATATCTTAGAGTTAAAAAAATATTTATCTAACACATATTATGTCACTATTAGAAAGCTAAAATAAATAAAATTATATTTATAGAATGTATACGAGCCCGTGCGAAGCACGGGGTTAAGACTAGTTATATCGTAAACAAGTTTGACTCTTTGATAACAACGTAACACGAACAAGTAATTAACAATGGATAATAAATTAATAATGCAATGCCATTAATAATTATCAAGCAAAGCTTATTACATGTATATGAAAATAAAATAATTTCCAAAATATATAAAAGCCCTGATGATAATAAGCTAGCTAGTTTTGAGCTGGTTCATCAGCATCAGCAGCAGCAGCATGAACGTGATCAACTCGCACAAGCCCAAGAACCTCACCCTCATGCATGTTGTTATCTATCCTCAGCTTCCTCAGGCTTTCATAGCTCGCCGGAACATACTGCCGTGGGTGATCGGGAGTCACCAGCTCCGGTGGCGGCTCCACGAAAGCCTCTTTTTTGGGACCCAGAATGAACGACGCTATTGAAAACCGCACACTTGCTTCCTTGCACACCACCCTGTGCCTCACCGACCACAATCTCCCATTGCTCCAAAGCTTGTGTTTATTATATATACATACAATACAAATATACAATGCAATGATGAAAACTCTTTTTTATGGTACCATAATGCATACTCTTTTCGTTTTCGTTTTGACTTTTTGTTGGTTTTAAAGACAGTTGAAAAGAAGTGAAAGTTTACCGAAATGTAATCTATTTTTGTTTTGGTTTTTTGTTGTTTTTAAAAACAGTTATAAAAAAGTTAAAGTTTACCAAAATACACTCCGTTTTTTGTTTTGACTTTTTGTGATTTTTAAAAATATTTGAAAAAAAAACGAAAGCTTACCAAAATACCCTTAAAGAAAATGGATGAAGTGTATTATTATATGAGGATGATGAGGTATAATAAATAAAGTTAGTGAAAGTAGTTGTGATATTTTAAATGTTGAAAAAGATAATATGAAGATTTATGAATGACAAATAGAAAAGACTAGTGATGGCAGCTATTATACTTGGAGCAACAAGCAAGGTAATGGAAATAGAATCTATTCTAGATTGGATAGGGCAGTGTCTAACCTGGAATGGATTATGAAATTTGATGAGAAGGTCCAGGTAATTGAGGAAGGTATATCTGATCATTGCCTTCTATTGATTAGGACCCATAAGCAAGACAGAAGGAATGTGGGATTTAAATATTGTGATATGTGGGAGCTAGACAATGATTTTAAATCTACCCTCCAAGCAGTATGGAATAAAGATATATCAGGGAGGTTCATGTATCAGGTGATAAGGAAACAGAAGGAGCTTAAATATCCTCTTAAACAGATTAACAAAAAGTTCCATCTCATCCACCAGCAGTGTGATCTTCTTAGAGAGGAACTTTTTGACATTCAAAGCAATTTGAAGGGGGATACTAATAATACAAGTCTGCTGGAAAGGGAGAAGCAATGTCTACAGGAGCTTATTTTCAAAAATAAAGCTTCACATATGATGAGAGTGCAACAAGCTAAACAGAACTGGATTTGTGAGGGTGACCAAGGCTCAAAACTGTTTTTTGCCTGGACTAAGAAGAGGACTATCCTCAACCAGATAACTTCAATCATCAATGAAAGAGGGGAGAAGGTTGAGGGCAGAAGTAAGGTAGCAGAGGTTATGATTGATTATTTTCAGAAATTGCAAGGGCATAGAACTTGGACAGAACCTATTCAGGTC